TATATATATATATATAAATCTGTTTTGAAATTTACTTCTAACTTTATGAACCTTACCTTAAAATTACTGAATTTTCTTCAACAATGGGTTCGTGTTCAAATGGTTGAGGCGCTAAGCTCAAGTTAGAAGACAAGAAAATCATTCCAATTCGTACCGCTGTTTAGGCATTTTAATTAGGCATTGTATGTTCGGTACATATCTTCTGCCGATGGTGCCGATGGAGTCGTTAGTAACGGAGACTGAGTGTGTTACCCCATGTACTATTTTAATATATAAAATATTGAGTAAGAAGTATTTACAATTAAGGTATAAGCCTGTACCTTGAACTCTGATTAAATGGTAAAAATGACGTCACGGGGCTGTACGTAGAAGACATTTACTAATTTTTAACTGTTTGTTAAATACTAAATTGAGAATCGCTGTTGTTTCCTTTAATAGCATTAAAGTGAAAAGTATTTTAGTGATACTTCATTCTCAATCTTTCCGAAACTTAATAGATATCAATTTAGATTAATATTTTTTTGTTAATTAGTTTGTTTTAACATTTAAAGCACTAGTTTTTCATATCGTAAAGAGTATATACAAATAAGTAATTCCAATAAAATTTTTTAAAGGATGCATCTAAATATACCATAGCAATGCATCATTCTGTACATAATATTTAATTCACGATTATGATAATATATATGCTACTAATGTACTACATACTTGTAATTAAGTTGACTACATTTTGAACTGTGTCTTACATTAAAATATATCACCGGTATTTATGTAGTATTGATAACTACATCAATATATCTCATATATATCTATACATATAATAATCTTCAAAACATTTAATATTTAAAGGCAGAATAGTAGTAAAAAAATTAGACGAAGACTTGCTAACTTGATTACAATTACGTTTCGCCCAAGTCTGATTGACTAGAATAGTGTCTTATATTGCATTTGATGCAGAATTCTTACTTGATATATTTTTTTATTATTTTGTTTTAATTTAAGTGAAAAATATTATTTATAGTAATTTAATAATCTATGGTTTTGAAACACAGCATGAAACACCGGAGTCTTTATCTGCACTAAAGGCAAAAGCTTCCAAACACGACTCACTTCCGAACAATAATTTTTCTAATTTGCATTTATTTGCAGTTACTTAGATAAGAGAAGCAGTTGTTCCTTATTGAAATTCCTTCAATTTACAAAATCAATAATTTATACATTTTTGAATATGAATTAAATTTTTTTCTAACTGCTTTTGGTATTTTATATTTTAGTACAAATATAATTCTGGTAATCTACAATTTTTAGTAATTATAAGATTATTTTTTCTAATACAGATGATTTCAGATTATTTTTTAGATTATTTCTTCCTTTCCATAATACAATTTTGCTTATAATTAGAGCGTCAGAAGAAAATATATTAATAAGATACCGGAGTCCCAACTGCATCAAAGGGTGTCTTGTATTCAAAATAAATTTCAAACTGTTTTCGATTGTTTTCTTATCACATATTTGTAAGAAATATTAAATTAATTTAGATAAATATTACTTTTCCTTAAATATACATTCATAAACTATAATTTTTTTTCATAGTTTCTATTAACAATTTAATAAATTGTTTCCCTGTTGCCTATATCTTTAAAAATTATTTTACCAGGTACCGATATTTCATCGTAAATTATTCTAAATTTACCAATTCGTACTGTCTTGCAGTGGGACAAAACCCCGTGAAGTCTTTTACCATCTTCTATTTTATTTAAAATATCGTGAACTTTGGTTTCAACTCGTTTCCGAATATTCATGTCAGAGATATTTTCTAGTTTCCACTGAAACACGCCTTCCAAGGGTAAGTTTTCCTATAAACGAAAATATAAACATGGGATATTTTAGAAAAGAAAAGAAAGATAAATACTTTTAAATATGTTTTTAAATACTAACAATTAAAATGCTAACAAGAAATTGAATCAAATGGGCAACAATCAATAAATAAATGCGTCATCCATATACTTGACAATTCTTCCAGATTTTGGGGACATTTTTATTGTGACATTTAAACTGATAGCGAAACTTAAGCTTTTCTATTTAATTTTTGGATTTACAAAGTTAATATATAATAATTTTAAGCCCCATTAAACATGGAATAGTTAGAGATATAAAAAAAAAATGCTTGATATTTTAGTCTCTTGTGAACCTAAAAAAAAAGACAAACATCGAACATCATTGCGCCCTAATTACGTATTTTATCTAAACTGACAGTTATGAACACGATGAATGGGCAAAAGCCATGTTTGCCGATTCATCGTGCTTTGCCCAACCAGCTCCATATTATAAGTGAAGGTTTTTGCGTTTAAAATTGGCGAAATATTAAAATATTTTTGCCTAGAGTTGATTTTTTTAAAACTCTCATTCCTCTATCACTTGGGCAAATCCTTCGTGTAAAAATTTTGGCAGACATGATTATCCCGTTTATGCTAACATGATTTCCCCGTTTTTTTCTGAAACAGAAACACAAGTAGCACATATATTATCTACCACAATATGTCAAAAATAAATAATGGAATAATAACCTAGTATAGAGAAAATAATTCCTATCACTTCCTTTCACATAGGTGTTTTTCATTTGTAGAATTTTTGTTACCGGGCATATATAGGTTAAAAAAGTCTCGTTTATTTTTATTTCTAACCATTAATCTTGGAAATCGGTATTTATTCGGTATTACCATTTTTACCAATTCCACAGACAATTCTTATGCACTCACCGGAATAATTGCATTTCGAGTGATATCAAAACTTATATGCTATTCTTATTCCTGGATTTAAAGATTTAGTTTCAAGCAATTTTAAGAAAAAGCCGAAATCATTCGATTCAAAACTCTCTCTTTGCTGCTTTCAAACAGAGTAGACAGAAAGAGAAAATTTATGCAAAACCACTTCATCTACTCTGATATTTGTGAAGAGCGAAATATAAACTTTTCATCACTAATTATTCTACAATGGGTAAAAAATAAGTTACATAAGTTTTAACTGTTAGAAGAATCGTTGCTATATGTTTCTCTAAAAATTTAAAATCTAGTTCAGGGGTTTCCAATTTACATGAGGCCGGGAGCCGCAATTAAAAACACCAGTCAAATGGCGGGCCACAACTTTCTCAAAATTTTATATAGGACTCTTGTATGTTTGAAAGAACATTAAGTATTACTGTAAGATTTTTATCAAGTTGTACAAAGCAAAAGTATTGAACTGCAAATTAAAATAAGAAGTAGATTTTTAAAAATATTTAATTGGCTTCAATAACTTTAATTGTGCACCTATGCATTAAACAATTAATGTGCAACAGATATCAAATTGTTAAGATATAAAACTAAAAAATTTAAAACCCATATAGATTTTTTACAAAAATTGTCCTAAAAAAATGACAACTAATATATTTTAGTTCGCGGGCCACAAAAAAAAGCTTCGCGGGCCGGATGCGGTCCGAGGGCCGCCAGTTGGTAACCACTGATCTAGACCATTAGCCCAGCGTACGACGTGTATTCAATTAATTCTTGATTTTAATACCACACCCTGTAGGGGACATCTGAAAATAGAGGTCGGGCCTCTTCACGATTTCTTAAATGTATTCTGATTTGACCATATAATGAATCGCATCAGAACTTAGCTCAAATCTTAGTATGCCATCGGGAAACGACAATAATATATTACAGTAAATGGTATGTATATTTTAGACACGGTCAAACTCATGTATAATTTAGAAGGAAAAAAAAACAATTAAAAAATTAGTGGTAATAAATTTAAATTTTTAAATTTACTTAATGACAGAATAAATTTTTTTTCTTCATGTTTCTTTGTTGACCACCAAGCATTATTATATCAAATATGCACATAAGTAAGTAAAAAGGGACTTCCTTCGCTAACTTTTAGAACCGAAGTTTATTTAATGCGCAAACTACCTGGATGAAACCGGATGAAAGTCTTCTCTTGTAGGAGGCGATAGGTTTACTGGTTAAGCGACACAGTATTTAATCAATCACATTTTGTTTTAAAAAATCTTTTAACATAAAGCACAAATCGCTTCATTGCAGACTTGCATGCGATGGCCACGATTCTCTTAGCTTATCATGATTACATTTTTTGACCAAAAATTTTCTTCTCCGTATAGGAACAGCAGTACATGTATGAGGAAATACAAAAAAATATTTACATACATATATTTTCATACATTATACATACGCTTTTTGTAACCTGGGAAGAAATGCTTCTCTACAGAAGTTGGCCACTGTGGGTCGTATTCAAATTTCTTTTGGTAGAGCATCGAATTGGAAGATACCATTAGCCTCCCAAGACCCGAGCTTTAAATAATGGTAGAATAAAAGATAGAGTAGAATCAAAGATAATATAGATGAGAAGAAAGTGAACTCAAAAATGCAATAAAATACATTTTTCAAAGATTTCAATTCATTTAACTTAATTATTTTAAGTTATTTTCAATTTATTTCAAAAATAAAAATAATATAAACACTAATTTTTGAATTTTTTGTAAAATTTAAATGTAATTTTTCATAATATCGAAGCTAATCAAGTCTTCGAAGCTAATCCCAGTGTACGTCTTCGATGCGCATGAACCATCTGACTTCACCAGTCAAATCTTATTTTGGAATTTTGTCATACTGTGCAAGCGAGATATTGCACCTAGTAGGCTAAGTGTGGTCATGGGTAGATAAAGAAACCATTTCGTGTCCAGCAGAGCCTGGTTTGTACGACGTTGGGCCCATATCCAAAAGGCCGTGAGTTCGATCTCCAACGGCCGAAAATTCTCCACGTGACTGGTGCAAGTTAAATCTCTCTAGGCACTAAGTTCTCCAAGTTTCCATAACGAATCATACATCTGGGGATACTCAATGAGAGAGTGATCATTCTCTAGTTAAGATTAAACTTACAATCTGTGGATGAATGAAAGGATCCGCTCTATAAACGTCTGTGACACGTGAGTGGCTGAAAATGAAGCTACTAAAAAAACGTGAAACGCATTCTTCTGCTTTCCAAGCAGGATTGTTGGCATTGACAGGTGGCATTAGAAACAAAAACAACACGGAAGTCTTTTCATTATGTTTTAGTTGTGTATGAACCATGTAACTTTAACCAGTAGAAGCTTACTTTGGCATTTTATCACTGGGATGCCAATTGCTTCGCTTACAACAAAATATTTTATAGAGGTGTGGAAAATTATAAACTGAACCTTTCAGATTTTTGCCATTACAAGTACAGTTTGGAGAAACGAAAAAGTTAAAGGGAAAAAAAGTTATAATTTTTTCCTGCTTACCAAATAATTTTTGTAATACGCCATTTGGGGGTGCAGTTATATAACTGGAAGAGGAGACCTGGGTTCGAATCCCAGTGATTGCAGGTCGAAAAGAATTCTGCACCCTGCTCGCACAGACCACAGTGCTGATGTAAAATATCCTCAGTAGTAGATGGATCATGTGTTATAGTCCTCTTGCAGTAAGACTAACAGTGGGAGGTTTTCCTCTCCTTGTAAGGCAAATGCGGTTAGATCCATCAAAAAGTTCTCCACGAAGGCAAATTTCACCCAATACTTAATCGAGGAGTTCCCTTGTCTTTTGGATTGTGTTCAAAATTGCAAGGATACGGAATTGAACATCGCAGTAGTCGTAAGCTCAAAATTGGGTCGGCTGTTTAATGACTATTTTAAAATTATAAAATATATAACTAGAAGAAAAACCACTTAAGGGGAAATTAATATTTAACTATCATTTTAATTTTACTGAAAACACTGGTTAAAAACTTCTGTCATTACTGCAGAAACTATCTAGTAACACTTATCTTTTTTTAATAATTTTAACGACTATTTTTATTGTAGAAACTGCACAGTCACATGCGTTTTTTCTCTCCAACTTTTAATAATTTCGGCAATAAACTTAAACTTACGTCGCATTTTTTCAGCGTCTGTTCTTCTAAATTCTCCTTCAACGACTTCCTTTCTTTCTTGATCTTTCGTTCTCTTTGTTGGTATATCAACTGTCTATTCGTCATATTGGGAATCTAGGATTATTTTTATTAAAAAAAGAAACCGTTACGACATTTCTAACTAGTAGTACTAGTAATTTAATCAAAACACTGAATATAATGCACAACAAATCATTGACGTATAAATTTTACAACATATTCGATGCACATGAACCAATTATGAGCAAATTAATAGAATGAAAAATTGTAGAAATTTTCAATTGTTTAGTACACCAGCATTATTGACAATAATTTTTTTTTTTAAACTATGCATTTATAAAACAATCTGCACCATTCCCTCGTTTTTTTCCAAGTTTCTTCATCTAAATTTGCTTTAAATTAAGGCATGCATATCTATCAAAAAGTCATTCGAATTTGTAAAAAGCAGATTAAATCTTAATCTGACAAATAAAGTTTTTTTTCAATCTATCACTAAATATTACTAAGCAATATACACCAGTCTTATGCTTTAGTTCATTTCTCATGTTAATCCACGTGCAACTTACAGCATGTTATGACTTTTAAGCTTACAATGGTGAGACCTGTCTTCTGTTGTGATAAAGACAGTTTAAGAAGAACCGCTTTATTAGAGGAAAGTACACCCTCTGAAATTCTGGAAGATTTATGATTATTCTTGAACCATGCCATTGTACAAATGCTCTGAAATCTTATCTGTGCAAGCAATATGCATTGAATAAGTGAAATAAAAGCAATGATAACAGTATTCTAATGTATTTATGAAGAAGATCTTTTGAATTCGAGGCATTATAATGAAGACAAAAGGCTCACAGGACTCAGGATCATTAATGCACCATACAGCGCGATTATTATGAGCTCGCGCAAATAAACAAAACCGAAATGAAAGCATTCTGGGAACATGTGAATGGCTTATGCACATCTGCTCATCAATCATTTGTCACTGATAGTTTATCAATGACCATTGTTGAATGTATTACTTATCTTAAAATTGTATGAGCTAATCAACAAGTCTTAGTTTTTTTTTTACATAAAAAAGTATATTTATAGTTTGATGCTGTTAAAGAAAAGTTTACAAAATCAATTTTTAAATTTGTATAAGTTCTTTTTACATATGAAAGAAAAATAATTATTTAAATTTTTAGGTTTTAGAGCAGCGGTTCCCGAAAGGTGTTCCAAGTTACCTTTGGATCACACGGATTCCGAAAGTTGGATTTTTTTTTTTTTTTTAGCAAAAACTTTCTTTATGACTTTTGAAACCTGTAATTATATCTAATCAATAATCAATTATTTGTTTAATGTTTGGTTCCATAAAAAATTATTTAAGTAAAATATTAGTTAAAATAATAGCAAAATTTAAAAAAAGATATACTATATTTATTCTAATAATTACCATCTATTGAATAAATTATGAAAAGGATTATGTATTAATAAAAAACTTCATTGCTAATTCGAACCGAACTTTTCATTTCAGAAATTTCTTTTCAGTAAATTCTTCAATTCCAGCTTTTCTGAGTATCATTCTTTACATTCATAAAAATTCGTTTAAATTTAATGAAAACTATAATCCAGCATTCGCGAACACCAAAAATTATGCAGCCATTGGGACAGAACTGCTGTGTTATTTTTGACAACTCAGCACCTTAACTCTTAAGGAGGCATGAAAATTCAATCAAAAATCTCAGACGAGAAAATACTATAATAATTGTGGTCAACATATATTCACATTCATTTCAACGAATGAAAAAAACGGTTTTACCTTCATATTTTTCAAAATTTTAGTTAAAATTGGCGTAGCTTAAGAGATAAAAACTATTAAAATTTTTTATGTTTGTATTTTTGTCAAAATTTACTCGGGCAGTTTTTATACCATGGACACTGAAAGGGTTATTTGTGCCATCACGGCTGTATTTAATCTCTGTCATAACCATCACTTACTTTAAATGCTGGTTTCTAACTTCTCTCGGTATTTACTCACTTATTATCTCGCCAAGCATTTTTCAGCTTCTTTTTGGCATCTTTTATTCAACATAGCAATAGATTGTAAAAAAATTTACAGAATACAAATACAACCTATCACTTGCAAAAAATAAGAAAATATTTAAACAATTGAACTATATCCAAATTTATTTTCAGTTTTGACGAAAACTGTTGACGGGATAATGCTAAGTATTTCCCAGAGAAATGAAAACATGCATTCCAGGTATTATGGGTTTACATTAGGCACGACATTGGACAGATGGCACACTGAACTCCTTCAAAGGCCTTGGGTAGCAATAACGCTAATGATTGAACATTTAAAATTCATAACTTAATTTAATGATATATTGGATTTCTATGGCAGTTACTGTAAATTGTCGTACTTGGTGAGATTTACCCATATGAATTTCAATTGATTGTAAACAGCAATTTATTCTTGCTATGGGAATCATTTATATATATATGGACCATCACCAGGAGGGGTTTTATCACATTATGAAAGTTCGGAGCGAAGCTCCAAGAAAAGCTAGAATAAGAGCTCTGTTATGACAACAGAGCTGCGATAGTTTTTATAGAAAGTTCATGAGGGAAGTTAGGTTTCAACATTAGCGAGAATGTATTCATGATGAAAATACTTACCATTAGAATATATGAATTCCTAAATGTAAAATGGTATTGCGACCTGGCCAATAATTCATTTAATTAAAGAAATAGCAAGATAAAAAAATTTCTTAAAGTAATCTGCTAAATCTGTTTGTTTGCGTAAACTCTGCGCTAAGCTTGTGGTTAATAAATCGAACATTCATAAAAAAAAAAAAATTGAAAGAAAAAAATGGTAATGACATACAACTGATTTATTTTGAGCTATATAATAAGAGGCTTCGTAGATATACACGTGTAGAATTTTTCGCACAAAGCTCGTGGTCAATCAATTTAACATTTATAAAAGCTTTTGAAAGAAAAATAAATTATAGTGACATATAACTGATTTATTTTGAACCATAGTATACGAGGCTACGTTGATAAGCACGTGTAAAATTATCAACATTATTTTTTGTAGGTTTTGTGCAAATTTCTTTTTCTAATTTACTAATATTACGAGTTCACCCTTTGCATCAATATGTTCACCCTGTTCTAAAGCAAAAAGTAACGGTTTAATCATATTTTATCAGCCATTCCAGCTTTCACTCTTTTTGAGACATTACGTAAATGCGTATTATATGTTACTGAAAAAATAATTTGTTATAGCATTTTCTATGTAAATTCTTTTTTTTTGTGCAACATATTCATTAAGGTTGCAAACGTGAACAAAAATCTACATCAGGATGTGCAAACTATTTTATCAGGACTGTTAAGTACTACGCCTTTTTAAAAATACTTTATAGAGTGGTAGACAATTACAAACTAAAACTTATTGAATTTTTGGTAAATTTGCCAACATCGTAAGAGCCTCACCACGAAAGAACTGAAACAGTGTGAAGTTTCACGTAAATTTTTGAATAATTTTCATGTAATGGAGAGAGAAATGGCCTTAAAAACAAATAATCACACATAAAAATATAAACACAGCTATTACTAGAAGAAATTTTCCAAAATAGCGAAAAAGTTGGAAGGCCTGTATCGTACCTTCCAATTTCTGCTCTTTCCAAAACTAGTTCCCCGAAGTGATAGTAAATTGCAAATTTAGGAATGAATTATAGAAAAATATGTGTTATTATTTTGCAATTGTTGGTAGTCACCAATATGAGGTTTTCGAGGAATCACATATTTGTTTATTCATTAATTTGTAAAGGTATTTATAATAATTCCTTATTAAACCCATGAATCCAAGAATGAAATAAAACAGCAAAAATTTTACTGTTCATTTAAATATAAAAATAAAATATTCCAAAATTGTCAGCAATGACCTGTAGACATCTTAGTTAACATTTTGATATTAAAGTTATTAATGTGAAAAAAAAAAGTTTATTTACGTGCATAATAAAAGTGTATTACAATACAGCTTTAGTCATAGTAAGCCTTAATCTTACGTAGGCGTTGCTCAAAAGATAATGCCATGGTGCTAAGAACTTGAATTTGCTGTTTCTTTTTCAATGATCTCATAAAATGAAAAATGTTAAGCTGGTGGATCACTCGATGGCTCGCGACTACAAATGTCCCGCATATTAAGCTAAGAATTTTGACAATTATAAATGAAAAGAAAGAAAGATACTGTTAAGCGTTCATTATGAGAATTATTAAAAGAAAAATATTGATTACCTCATTTTTTCTTCTAAATTAATTAATATAATTATTACTAATAATAACAATTTTTGCAGCTACGAAAATTTCTTCCCTGAATAAATTTAAGAATTATTTTAAGTTAAGTAAAGCATTCCAGTAACAGCCCGCTGTAGGCAAACTATCATGATCTATTAAAATTATGTATTTTTTTGAACTATTCTAATATGTTTTTTTTCTAATTTGAAAATTATCAGTGCTTTGAAGATTTTGTTAAAAAAATAACTTGTTAATTAACGTGAGAAATACAATTATATAAACTCAGGGCCATACTCTAAAATTAAGAAACAGTTTTCAAAAAGTATGATTAGTCATGAACTAAATAATTAAACTTATACCTTCATTTATTTTTTATAAATTATAAATGTAGATCAGTATTTACAAACCAATGAACCACATAATCTATAAAAATTATATTTTCATATGAACTGCAAAACATGCTTTTCTCTAATTTAAAAATTATCAGAGCTTCATAAATTTTGTAGCATAAATAATGATTTCGAACTTATTAATTAACGTGAGAAATATGAATAAACTCATGGTCGCATTCTAAAATTAGGAAATGGTCTTAATCAAGTATGATTAGTCATGAACAAAATATTTAATAATCAAACTTATACATTCTCTTATTTATTATAAATTTTAACTATAGATCAATATAACAAACCAATGAACCACATAATTTATGAAAATTATACTTTTTTTATGAACACCAGAACGTGCTTTTCTCTAATTTAAAAATTATCGGAGCTTTATAAACTTTTTAACACAAATTATTTAGAACGTATTAATTAACGTGAGAAAAATTATTAAACTCAGGGTCGTATTCTAAAATCAGGAAATGGTTTTAATCAAGTATGATTTCTTGAAATAAATATTCAATAATTAAACCTATACTTATTATTTATTTATTTCTTACAAATTATAACTATAGATCAAGCATTACAAACCAATGAACCACATGTTCTATGAAAATTATATTTTTCATGAACAGCAAAACGTGCTTTTCTCTAATTTAAAAATTATCAGAACTTTATAAATTTTGTGACATAAATAATGATTTGGGACATATTAATTAACGTGAGAAAAATTATTAAACTCAAGGCCATTTTTTCAAAAATTAGGAAATGGTTTTAATCAAGTATGATTAGTCATGAACTAAATATTTAATAATTAAATTTATATAAAACGTTTATTTTTATAAATTATAACTATAGATCAGTATTACACGCCAATGAACCACTTAATCTATGAGAAATATTTTCTTTTTTTTATGAACAAACAAAACGTGCTTTTCTTTAATTTAAACATTATGAAAGCTTTATAAATTGTTTAGCATAAATAATGATTTAGAACTCATTAATAAAAGTACGAAATTCAAATAAACTTAATGCCAATGAAATTACTAACAAATGAAGCATATGTTCTATGAAAGTTATATTTCTTTATGAACAGCAAAATGTGCTTTTCTCAAATATAAAAATTATCAGAGCTTTATAAATTTTGTAGCATAAATAATGATTTAGAATTTATTAATTAACGTACGAAATTCAATTAAACTCTATGTCGTATTCCAAAATCAGGAAATGGTTTTTATCAAGTATGATTAGTTAATAACTAAATAATTAATATTTAAACGTATACATTTACAACTAAAATTAATTTTTATAAATTTTAACTGTTGATGAGTATTACAAAGGCATAAATTAAATTAATTTAGATTCATAAAAAAGATATAGACACATAGAATAAAAGATACTTAAGTATTAAAAAAACTTACTTGAAAAAAATATAATCCTTCAGTGACTTGATAATTTATGAAATATATTAGTTCCTTCATACAACTTTCAATGGAATCTTTAACACAAGATTAGTAAAAATATTACAAAACACAAAATGATTGAAATTATGCTTCGTCTTCCAAAAATGCATATCAAACCGAGAAATTTCGAGCAAATTCTCTAAAAAACAGCACTTTTCTTCTATCAGATTGTAGAAGATTATGAAGAGAACTTGTATTACATTCATTAACACTAACCATGGACCTAAGGGCTATGATTGGCTATGACTAGCCAATCAAAATCCAGCTCTTGTAATTTTTGGAGTTATCTTGTGGTAAGAAGGTGAAATATGAATAGATTCTATAAGTTGAGAAGTTTTGTAGCTGAAATTAGGATTCGAAGCTTTGCTCAGTATTGTTATTTACAAGAATTTTCTACGATATTTTTTAGGGTTCGAAATGTGAATAGAAAAAGAAAAAATGTATGCTGATTGAGGCGGATCGTTTGGAAATTTTAATTATTTTTTGCAATGAGGAAAATATTTGAAACTTGTTTCATATTAAAAAGTGAGTGTCAACTTAAAAGAAAATATAAATAAATGCCAAAACATATAAATATAGAATTCTTAAAAAATATTTGTTTACTCCGAAACAAGCTGCATTTAAAGTATTGCATATAATTTTTTTTAATTGTATATAATTGCATTGTATATAATTTTTTCTTGTAATTTTCTTTAAATAATTGTTAACGTACTGGCTGATAATTTGCATTTTTTTTTTAAATTTTTCGCAACCTGAATATATGTTATTTAAATCGTTGATTTGATCGTTGTTCCCCGAAAATTCTGTTTTCAAAATTATAGTTTTTATTACCATACATTTAGAAAAAAAAATGAACTAAAAAGAAAATTTAATCGAATAAATGGTATATGTCATGCTTTAAGGTTTCATGATATAACTACCAAACTTTCCCACATTCACCAAATTTTATCATGTTTAATTTAGCCATATTTTATTGTTAATTTTACCAAAGTCGTGATCAAAATGCTTCATCAAAAATTACCAAACTTCTTAATGTCCCTATAGAGTCAGAGAAACGATAAATTCAACTATATATTAGTTTTCACCTTGCTTTTTTTTCTCGGTGCATGATTTAAATTTCAAGTTCCTTTCAGATACGTATTTAAGGAAAACAATTAATCATAATCTTTCTTAATTATATGTTTTAATCTGTTGGCTTATATGAATTAAAAACAGTTTGCAATTAAAATGGTAAATTATTAAAAGGAGGAATATTAGTTTGCTTGGAAATTGTCAGTTATGTATTTCTTTTATTCGGTAGTAAAAAAGATTATTGTTTTAGAATTATGTATTAAATAAATACCCATTCAATAAAATGTAATATATACTCCCGTTTAGTAAAGACAAATCATAATGCAATATCATTGCATACAAACTACCTATGATATTGTATGATAGCTTTCATTGAGTATAGTAAATTATTGTAAATGTTTTATTGTATCAAATATATATTATATCAACGATTTAAGCATCTTGGTTTTGTTTCATTTATAATTAATACGTAAAGCGAAATCAAAATAACCTGTCAGAGCAGCCTTCAGAAGCAGAAAAAATAATAATTTTGCTCATTAATGCATTTTTTGTTTGAATTTCAAAGAAATGTCCTTTATGATTCTAAAGTATTTACAGTATATGCGGAAAAATAAATAACTCTAATTATAAATTTTAAACAAATATTTTGTTTATAGAGAGGCCAACTTAGCCCGTTTTAGAAAATATTTTTTAAGTAAAAATTTCTGATCAGACTCCGCATTTTACAGCAGCATTTATTTTTACCGGAACATGTTACGGAATAAAAAATATTACTAACTATTATTTATACAGTAATATTTATCGCAAAAGCACTGTATTACTCTAATTAAACAAACATTACTGTAAAATTTACAGTAAAAAGTATTTTACGGTAATATGGATTTTATGAATAATGCTTGCAGAGTGCTGTAAATATATAGCGAAATTTGATCCGGAATTTTTAACAAAGTAGCAAGAGTCAAGTTTTAATACATTATTCTTGGCTTCTTAGATGTGATTTCAAAATATTTTTAAACCAGTCTTAAAAATTATTTAAAAAATTGATATAAAACGCTACTTCAGTTATGGCGCTAAATATGGGAAAAATTAAATCGTATAACGAAACTCTACGTTTATTAATAAGTTTCAATATTAAGAAATTAATTTTAAAGATTAATTTTGTTTTAAGAGATTTTAATACTCTAATATTTTTTTTAAATAATAATTAGGAGCTGGTGTAACTCTGTGTTATGGTGGGAATATTTCATGAACTTTATCGTGCTTCTATCCATTCAAAATGCTGCTTCTTATTCTAAAATTAAATAATTCAAGTGATCTTCGAAACATGTTTATTTAACCAAAAATTGCAAAACACTTATACAGATTTTTTTAAAATAAGATGTTTGTTACAATACTCAGTATACATCGTAAAACAAGAAGAATTGCAGATGTTACAAATTCCTACATAACAATGCCAAACTCTCAAAACAGTACATAATTAGATGTGGAGATTGGTCTAATTCGTAACACTTATTTATATCAGTGTTCCAAGCAAATAATTCAAATATAATCCATAATCAGATCGGAAAAACCGTAATCCGAGTCCAAAATTCGACATCTAGGAAATCACAATTCCTTAAGAAATTCACTAGTCGCCCTTTTTCTTTGGTTTTTTCATCCTCTTATACAAGTTTTTGAAAAAAGATCGAATGTTATGCTTCTTGGTGTTCTTTTTCACGATCTTAACTTGTTTCAATTTATCACCAATTTCTTCCACTATGTCACTGGCCATACTGAAAGAAAAATGTGTATTATAAATTTTTTCCCTAAGCAATTTGATTTGCAATACACTTTATCACTAATACAGAAATAAATTTATTATAATTCATAAAAGTTTTAAAAACTGAAACTGTACTTCGACAACTGAAATATCGTTTTGTTGTAAGACAGCAGTATGTAGTTTTTAATTATTATTTTAATTTCGTTTCCTGGTTATTTTAGATTCGTAAAAACAATTTTTTCATATCATTAAAGTACAATATTAATTCAATATGATTATCATCTATATTTATGTTCAATAAAAAATAAAATTTATCATCATTCTAGGATATTTTTCTATACCCGTTTTTCTACTTGTCTCATAGTTTTTTTTAACAAATGAAGCGATAGCAATTCACGTGATCATAGCATCAAAACAATTTATCAGATGTAAGTAAAAAACAATTAATCAGATGTTATATAACAACTGATAGTACAATTCAACAAATGATCTCATTTAAATACTTTGGTACTGAGTTTAATGATTGCAACTTAATTTAGCTTAATTCTTTCGGATTGTTTTATTTCCTATTTTGATCTATCTTAATTTTGGAGTTTTTAAAATAGACGCCTAGAAATAAATAACAATCCTGCGAAAAACTGTTCCATTGCAGTCAACATAGCGGAAGTGCCGATAAAGAATAATAATATGAATTTAGAAATGATATGCACGATTAAAAATTAAAGCGAGGAGGAAACAAAAGCCTGTCCAAAAACTTAAAACTTTTTACTGTAGAAGGTGATACTGAAATTACAGTCAAAACTTGTTTGATTAACGGAAAGTAAAGAGAGACTGCAAGGCTGTGATTTTCGAAATACCTCTGTGTTTCATCCAGCAAACAAACCAGTTTTGATAATTTCAGTTCCAGCCCTCTCTGTGGGGATGTAAGAATTTATGGTTCTTGTTTGCTTAATAGCTGATTCGTGACCATGGATGTAAATATTTAATTAACATAATTTGTGGCAAATAATTTAAAAAATGTATCAAGATCGGTGGTTACTGAAAGGATCTATCTCGATACTGTAAGGATACTCGATATAAAAATCTATCTCGACCATGTTTAACAAAAACTTAATAGAAAAATTAACAAAAAAAAAATTACAAAAAGCACTTTGAAAATATTTTAAAGATATTTTTTCATTTTTTAAAAGCCAAATTTCTAAATTCATTTAAATTTTAAAATATTCTTTTTGGTATTTGATGACGGAGAATGGGAAAGAGGAGAATGCATATTTTATTGAGGACCATGCAGAGAGTATTTTATATCTACGCGCCTTAATTCTAGCTTTAGTTAAAAATATTTATAAAACATTATTTTGCACATTCATTCTGAATTAATCATGGAAATTTGCTCTGGTAGATGTGAATTAAGACTTGGTTAACTTCGTGAAAAATAGTTTTCATTAGAGTTAAGGCTTTTGCAGCATATTATTTATGTTTTTGAAGTATTCAAGAAATTTTAAAATACCTCGTTTTTGCCTCCGTATTATCAACGGCATTATGAGCCATTTCATCGATCGATTGGGAAGAACAATGGCCTTCCACTTTTTCAAAACCATAAGAGGAATCATACTCTTCATAATTTTTATCAACCAAATCATCTTCTGCCAATGATTCATATGACGAGCCTCTGTAAAGTCGTTTAATACGTTTATATTCCCGAAATATGAAATCGGTCTGCGTCAATTTATATAGCTCGTCTTCATCATACGATTCCTCATTCGTTTCTACTCCAGATTCACACTTCGAATCCTCATCCGACATAAAAGCTTTACTTGTCAGAATCTCTTCTGAAGATTCGAACCAAATGTGGATGTTTGGAAGGCTGCGGAATCGAATAGATTCACGAGCCCTGCACTCATGACCAAACTGAACTTCAAATTTGAAGTCCTCAACCCGACTACTTTCTTCCACAAAATACTTTAGAGCCTGACTGCGAAGTCTAGCCCTCCATTCGTCAAAATACAGTTGGTCACTCGTGGCGATATCAATACTCGCCTTTTTATTTCTCTTGTTGGCTGCAAAACACAATAACCATATAAAGAATATAACACATTTCTGATAAATCGTCAACGTTTTAGTAAATTATCCATCATAATTATTATTTAGTTTAAAATTTCGTAAGACTACGAGTGTGATGGGCAAAGAAGTCATTTTTGTTAATATTATTAGTGTATATATGTTTTGGTGAAAGTATTGGGGAATGATTTTTTACGCTGGAGAGAAAAATATATATTTAACTCAATCATCAAAACTATGCCAAAGTAAATTTTTCTAAAGTAATTAGTATTATTTATTCGATTAGAGCTATTTTCGGTAGATATGCGGCATAAGCAATTAGAATTGGATCCAAATAATATGAGCCTGAAACAAGCTACAGTTTTCTATGAGAAAA